TGATTATTACAAATACATTGTATGATTAAAATTATAAAATGCTTACATATGCCTGAAGTTCGCGTGACATGCGACAGGAGATGTTGAATTTTGCGCATTAAAAGTACCAAATTCGTTTTGGCGGAATAACTCTAAAACTAAAGGGATTAAAAAAAAATTCCTAGTGACAGTTGTCGATCATGCATAAATATAATTCATTATCTTATTTTTGTCCTAATAACCTGTAGCAATTCCAGGATAAATCGAAAAAATGTGAAAATTAGAGGTCATTTCGTGATTTTTATCTATCGAGGAAACTTTATTGTTTTATGTTTCTGATTAATGTCTATGCTTGAATATATCGTGTAGTTACTCATACAATATTTTATTTTTAAATTTAAAGTGGATATACCCCTCTAAAATGAAATCGAAGATTAGGAATTTTTCCTCTGCTCCCTCTTAAAGACATGTTTGTCGCCACAGAGTGCAAAAATACACATCAATAAATTATCCATGTGCGAGTAGTGTTAATAGAATTGGAAGGGGGGATTTTGTACTGTACATTACGGGATCAAGACTGTCCATATCATAACTAACCCTGATGCACAGGCCACACACAATTTTTGTAATGTACGTACGTACATACAAGTTCATAAACCCTGCCACACAACGCGCGGCGGCCGCGCATCGGGATTCAACACATCTGGATCAGCGAGACGAGATCTAGAATCCCATCCGATCGGTTTTTTAATATCATATTTAGTTTCATTTTTTAACCGTATTTTTTAATAGTTTTTAACAGTATTTTTATTCGTATCAATTTGAAACGCTATTACTTTTGTGAACAGATTTCGATGATTCTTTTTTGTTGGAAAGATGGTACCTCATGATTCCCATTTCATGTTAATGCTGATATTACAAAATGAATACTAAATGGCGATATAATTCGGGACAATGTCTTTATGTGGCTATGTAACTTACCTAAAAAAATAATATTCGCAAAAATTTGAGGGCACTGTAACCCTAAAACCTAAAGTTAACAAGTCCCATACGCCTACAGTTGCTTATGTCAAATTTTAGTCACTTAGTGCTTAACTGTCTCATCATCATCATCATCATCAGCCTATTGCAGTCCACTGCTGGACATGGGCCTCCCCTAATGCACGCCATTTCGCCCTGTTCTCGGCTTGACGCATCCATTTCCTGCCAGCAATCTTCCGCAGATCGTCACTCCATCTGGCTGGAGGGCGTCCCACACTACGTTTGCCAAGTCGTGGTCTCCACTCAAGAACTCGTTTACCCCAGCGGTTGTCGGTTCTTCGGCAGATATGTCCAGCCCACTGCCACTTCAACTTGCTTATCCGAAGAGCTATGTCGATCACTTTGGTTCTCTGTCTGATAACCTCATTACAGTTATTTTAATTTAGATTTTTGTTTTGTACGTATCGTGTAACATAATATACTCGTATTATTATTTGAATTGTGGTGTTCCAATTATGACGGGCCGTGATAGAATAACCGCGAGAGCTATGTAATTAGCATAGTCCTCAGAGGCTGAGCCCTGGACAGCCCTTTTGACATGCTTTAATTTTATTTTTTATGCTTCTTTTTTATTTTAATTGTTCAATTTAATTTAATTTAAAATTTATTTTAACTAGGTACATAAATAGCGAGTAGAATCTGTATTTATGCTACTGATCTAATGCATAGATCTGGACAAAAAACGCCTGTCGTATATTATCATTATTATCTTTATAACATGCAACGATATTTTTCAATTAACATAATTGCAATAAATTTCATTGATTATGTACGACGTTATGTTTTTTTTATGATACCAAGTTACGGGACGAACAAGTCGTGCGTCTGCTGGTAACTTAGAGCTTTAAATCGCAAAGATCTTAGGGGCACTGCCGTCGCCCTCGTCACTCAGACAAGTTGACACACAGAAGTGGTAAAGGATGATGTTTCTTATATATATCAAGATACCGGTTTGACTCGTACCGCTCCCTAGTTCAAAAACATAAAAACTTAATGAATCTTCTTTGCACATTTTCAATTCGCGATAAATAGGTAAGATATTGAGGGTTACAGACCTTTAATGCGTATTCCAGGTGGCTATGAACAATATGTGTATTTTTAGTGTCAGTCTAAATTCTCCGATGTTCTTATAAGAAAATTCAATACGCAACCTATCTTGTTTCAGTCATGGACGCTTCGGGCCGCTATGAATCCGGTCTCTTCGGTGGAAATAAATATTGGTTGGGTTCCAAAGCAGAATGTCTTCAATTAGTAAGTGCACGTTTACTATTTGAGATACTTACATTCACTTATATTTGCATGACAGTTACTTAAGTACTATTTAGTTTGTTCTGTGTCATTTCGTTTTAGGACAATGGATTCATTGCAAGGGAAGGCAACGAAACCGTTGACGAATTCCAAGACGGTGACTACCTTAACGCCGTTCTGCGACGTGAAAAATATTTCCAAGGAGGTATATACAATGTACATACGTACCTTACATCGCAACTGCAAAAACAACTTTCTTTTTAAATTTAAAATTGTTAGCACGATCGATTGTTGTAATTGCTTGTTTGACGGACGATCAGACGCGGACGAATGGCGTTCACTGGTGCGGAGAGACGAGCTCTTCAAGCGGCTAGTGGCTGCTGACCACACCGCCCCACATCGTCTGGCCTACAATAGTGTCCAACTATCACTAAATTTGACCAAGATTACCATGGCCGAGGTAAGAATAGAGGCTCTAGGATAGTCCCTTGAGGAACGCCTTTATCGTCAAATGTAACCACATTTAACGTAATAGTGCTCAATTTTATTCTAATATTTGTGAAAATAATGCATTAGGAATAGTTAGTAAAATCTTTACTTGTTAGTTACTTACTTACTTTCAGTGTTGGGTGTTAATCAATTAAATTTCAATCAGATTAAAAAATCAATTCAATTGAAATAAATTGCAATTGATTTTAATTGCAATTGATTTCAATTGAATTGATTTTAATTGGAATTAATTTTTTTAGTTGTTCTAAGAAACAATTGAAAGTAACAATTAAAACTGAAAGTACCGAATAAAAGCGTCATTACGAATATGGGTTAGGGGGTAGGTGGGGGGGCCGGTTGGGGTGTCGGTTGGAGGGCTGGTTGGGGGGGCGGAAGGGGTGCCGGTTGGCGGGCCGTGTGGGGGCGGGGGGGGGGGGGGGGTGGGGGGCCGGTTGGGGGGCCGTTTGGGGGGGCCATAATATATATGATAATTGTAGATATACGCGATTAATGATTGATCAATTGTTAGTTGCGAGAACCGCAATTGACAATTAATTAATTGTCAATCTTTAATTGCCAGAACAATTAAATTTTGCCCAACACTGCTTATTTTATAGTGCTCAATATTAACAATGGCATTAAATTTAAGTTTAGGGCGGAGTGTCAAATGCTTTGTTCGTAACTGCTGTATTAATTAATTTCAAACGTTTCGTTTTAGTCATATGGCATAACATTGGGCGTGTGTTTGCCGCGTTCCTGCTCTGCAGACGACGTCGTAGCCGTCATGAACTTTAGCATCATGATCAACGATAATTTGAAGACCAATAAAACCATCCCAAGAGCTGTCAGGGTTAAGTCGTTGAGAAGAGTGGAAGAGACGTATAGCATTAGGAATGATATGGGAGCTGTGTTGTTAATATTAATTACTTTAATCCTATTAGTCATAATTACAATAGCCACTGTTGTAGATTTCGACGTAGTAAGATGTAAATCACATAATAGCAAGTCAATGAGTTTCGATTTACAGAAATTCAATAACAACTTTGACTCTGAAAATAGAACAATGCACGACGAAAATAAAGTTCACACTTGTGATGTGTTAGCAAAAAAAGAATCCAATGTCGTAGATATGGAAACATTAACAATTAATAATATTAGTAATTCGAATAATATTAACCTAGTGACGGTGAAGAAGGTTGTTAAGCCGAATGTGATGCCGCCGTCGATTACCCTGGATGTCGTATCCATGGAGCGAGTAACGGGTAGCTGTAAAAGATGTGGCAAATACAAAAAACAATGTGCTGCCGACAATCTGAAGCATAATGAGAATTTGGCCGCCTGCCCAAGAGTCAAGTCCTTTGCGAGTATTACTACAGAACCAAAAAAAGAAGAAAAGTTCTTCAAGAGTCTGCTAATGTGTTTCTCTCTCCGATATAGTTGGAAAAGAATATTCAACACTAATATGGCAAACAAAGACTTATTGTTTATACACTTATTAAGGATAATAGCTACGTTTTGGATATTATTCTTACATATAGCAGTTATTGCTAATTACGTATCAGGTAATAAACAGTTGACATTTTCAAATGTGTTAATCAATGGTCTGTAAATAAATTAATTTTACGTAATTTTTTTACAGATAACGGAGGAAATGTCAACGAGTACAACAACGTATATCATACCATCGCTACCGGGACATTAGCTTTCGATACATTATTTTTCGTCAGGTAGGACGCAACAATTGTTTATAGCCACTATGGAAGCTGTAATTCTTCGAAGATGCATGAAGTCTCCAAGTCTATGTACATTCTGTCAGTGTGGTAAACCCGTAGGCACCCAGAAGTAAGACATTGAATTGTTGGTATTGATGACGTTTCATTTGATTTAACATTATATCTTACTTCATTTAAAAATTTGTTATTATAATCTTAAATTTTATAAATATCACGTATTTTGTCAGATCCTTGACGTGCATGTTTATCGTCTGTTTCAGTGGTCTATTTAGTTCCCATCATTTCTTCTTCCTCAAGAGCCAGTACACCGTAGAAGAGCTGGTCAGCTTTGGAGGTGCTTGCGGTCAGATCTTGCAATTTATTTGCTTCGTCACTAATAGAGCTATCAGGTAATTTGGCCCAGACTAATAAGCCTTTAATAATAATAATAAAATTTATTTATTTCCACAAATTACAAATTACAAATAGATACAATAGGTAATACACATAGGTACAACAATTACAATGAAAGTGGAACAGGTAGTAACGAGCAAGTAACGACATTGACTCTTGAAGTAGGTAAAAACCTGTATCTCAAGAGACAGAGATTCAAATGGATGAGTTCCTTATAATTATTTTAAAAATTAGTAAACATTGACGAGATAAAACCAAGATGAACAGAGGAAAAGACAGTTATAATGCTAATTATATTTAACTTAAGTTATGAGAATGTGTGTGTGTGTGTGTGTGTGTGTGCGCGTGTGCGTGCGTGAGTGAGTGGGTGCGTGCATGTTTGTGTGAGGGGGTGCGTTGTGGTTGTGGGCTGATGGGTTTGAAAAACCTTCTGGACAGCATCGGCAGTACACGGCAGTAGCCGTAACGTAATGACAAGTGCCAATGACTTAGGGCGTAACAAAACTTTCTGTTTTTGAGTAGTTTAGTCTTCTGAGCCAATTTGTGACAGATTTCTTAGCCTCAAATTTACTTTTAGCGGCAATATTTAATTCATTATTTATTTTGTTAAAAAGAAACCGACCTAGGAAGAAGAAGAATCTGTAGCCAAATGACGTTCTACAGACAGTATGTAATGGTATAATATCCCGACGGGTCGATCGGTGAGGGCGAGATGTTCGGTCCAGACCAGAATCTGATAGTTCTGCATGTTGTTTCAGGGCGACAGCTAGAATAAATAGTTGCCGAACTGTCAATACCTCACAATACGCATACACGTCGTCGGTAGGACACTGAAATGGTTTGAAGGTACACACCTTCAAAACCCTCCTCTGAGCCCTTTCTAGCGATAGTATATGTCTTTGAAGCGCCACCCCAAGAGAGCATACAATACGTTAACAATGACTGACACAAGGCAAAGTAAACCATTTTTATAACAGTGCCATTTGCAACATATCGAAGTTTCCTGAATATAAATGTTAGTTTCCGGACTCTGTTTCCTATGAGATTTATATGAGGTAGGAAAGAGAGATTATTATCTACCAAAATTCCTAGATACTTGACAGTGTCAGTTCTTGATAATACAGGACAGTCACACTGACAAGGAATAATGCAGGAGTGGCAATGGGCTTTGATGGAGCGGTGCTCAATGTGGGGTAAAATGGTGTTTCTAATTGAAAATACAATATATTTAGATTTGTCCACATTAAGTGTCAAGACATTTTGCCCCAACCAGTTCAGAACTCTGTTCAATCCTGTCTGTGCACATCCGTAAATCTCACTCCAGCTATCTGCTGAAAACACGAGGGCAGTGTCATCAGCAAATGAAATCAATCGACCATTATACAAACGAATGTCACACAAATGGTTTATATAAATGAGGAAAAGGGTGGGGGCAAGAACACTGCCCTGCGGAACGCCGTATTCTATGGGTATCTCCCTACTGATCAAGTCACCAATTTTGACGCACCGCGTTCTGTTTCAAAGATAGGATATAAAAAGATTCAGTTGAGTACCACGAATACCCAGACCTTCCAGCTTATCAATACGCAAGGGAATGGAGACCGTGTCAAAAGCTTTTTTTATATCCAGGAAAATCGCCAGACACTTTTTCTTGCTGTCTAAAGCTCTAACAACATAGTCAGTAAGGTAATGAACAGCATCACCAGTGGACCTTCTGGCCCGAAAACCGTATTGGTTAGCTGACAATGAATCGTTTTTCTCTAAAAACCCTAAAAGACGACTGTTAAACAATTTCTCGAACACTTTAGAGAGAGTTGTCAAGACGGATATTGGGCGATAGTTGCTTACACAGTCTCTGTTCCCCGACTTATAAATCGGGTGAACTAGTGCTTTCTTAAAGGAGGTTGGAAATATACCACTTGAAAAACATCGGTTAAAAATGCAAGTGAGTGGACCAACCATAATATGTTTGAATTTCTTTAGAAAGTCTGTAGATATTCCGTCAATACCGACAGCACAATAATAATAATAATAATAATAACGCACACACTCAACATAGCCCCGCACTAGGGAAACCCTGTGTCGCGGGTGCCATGGACACACACATAGACAACCACAAATTACACCCAAACGAGAGAAATAAGTGTAGGTCATACAAATATTTCCCCCGACCCGGGAATCGAACCTGGGACCTCTGCGTGGCAGTCCGGCATGGTAACCGTTCGGCCACTGAGACAATTACTCCGCAAGTTATTAACCACCCTTTCCACCTCAGACTCATCAGTCTCCAGAATAACAAAAGAACCCCGAGCACCTTGAGACCTAGTCGCAGCATAATTGTGACTACGCTGAACCTTACTACCAAGCAATCGGCCAATGTCAACAAAGTATTTATTAACGTTGTTGATAGCATCGTCTTTGTTTGATTCACTAACAAGTAACTCAGTGGCTGGCGGGCTGGGTTTCGATGTACCAATGATATCAGTAATAGCACTCCACAAACTCTTGCTGTTTGTTCCTGCATCCTCAATCCTTTGCTTCTCATATTGACGCTTTAATTGCTTCAGTAAATTATTGCAAAAATTCCGATAACGTTTATAAGTTATAGACAATATTACATTTTCAGGAGAACATTTTAACTTCTTATGCATACGATCTCTATTTCGCATGCAGCGTAGTAAACCTGGGGTGATCCAAGGCTTTATAATTTTCAGACGGCGCGAGACTGTTACGATTTTAGTATTATTAAGAAGTGCTCGATTTAACGGAAGGAGTACTAGAATGTTCAGGATTTCTATCGCAACAGGATGGTGATCCATTTATCTACGAGAATCATCCAATTCTTTTCATTTGTTAGAACATGAGGTGGATCGGTGCTGATTCAAAAAACTTTCTTATGTGGTTATTCCCCAGGTTGTTGCCATCCTACGCGTACGTGCTATTCTTGTCCGCGGTGCTGTCGCGGCGGACATACCACACATCTGTGCTTGCGTTACCCGAGTCGGACGAAATCAACTGCGATCAGTATTGGTGGCGCAATTTGCTGTATTTAACCACTCTCTTCCCGAAAGAACAGCAGGTAAAAAATTAAACCTTTGCTAAAAAGCTAGCTTTACGTGAATAAAGTGTGGGACAAGATAAATAATTTAGTGCATTCGCAGTGCATGCAAATATCATGGGTGCTATCAGCGGAGACGCAGTTGCACGTATTTGGTGCGCTTGCGTGTTCACTTTCTGCCTCGGGCCGACGGCTTATCTTTTCGTTGGTCGTGGCCGCGATCATCGTCGCCACTGCGGCGGATGTTAGCTCCGCTTTCGCTGAGTTTGGACTCTAGTGAGTAGCTGTAACTAGCGAAACAATTTGATTTTCGTAGTTTCGTAAGTTTATAAATTGCCTTGTAACTTATGTAATTTTACTGAGTTTAATATTAATTGCAGCCTGTCGAGCCCGTTCGCAGCGTATACAACTCTGATTGAGCGCCCGTTGGGGAGAGTGGCTCCTTACTTCATCGGCGTCTTTGCCGGGTGGTTACTGCAGAGGCTCGAGGGACGATTACATATTTCTAAGGTTATTTTACCTCACAATTAAGCCACATTGACCATTTAAGGTTGAAATTTCAATCTAGACCTTGTTCACGGCGCGGAGTTGGGTCATAGTTTATAATAATATTTCTTCCTTTCGACGTATTTTCTAGGAGGCACTCGGGCTATAAAGCTTGTTTGCGTGGATAAGAACGTCACTAGAACAAAATTAAAGATGAACTCTTTTTTGATCACGGGTATCATCACCAATTATTTTATTTTATTTTCTGTTTCGGGACGCATACGTCCGTCACTCTCACTCACTCGGCTAGGGCCCATTGACAACCAGCGTCACAACCTAGCCTTGGTTGTGACTTTAGCTGAATGGGATCCTTTTGTACACGCCACAGCCGCACACATGTCAGCATAGTATTATGTATCTTGTTGTTGAAATGTTTTTACGCTGTTCTTTGTGTTATTTCTGTTCTAGTTATATTAGTCTTTGTTTTTGTGTTTTTTTTTATAATGAGGCGTTACAATAAATGGTTTCTATTTCTAATCGCATGCTAAGTAACTTTCTATTAACAGACGAAAGCGTCAATCCTTTGGCTGTGGTCGCTGTCAGTTCTGGCCACATGCGTGACACTGCCGTGGGTGGTGAGTGCGCGGTGGTGCTCGTGGCAGCACGTACTGTGGCCACTGGCATTGCTGTGGCCGGCTACAATCTTCGCCACAAGATTTGGATGTAAGTTACACGTTGCAATTTCACTACTAAAACTAAGTGACGGGACGAACAAGGTTTGCCTGATGGTAAGCGACACGCCTGTCTATAACAGTTGCAGTACCACTCAGAGATTTAAATCGCTAAGATCTGAGGGGCACTGCCACTGCGCCCGACATCCTGAGACATCCCATGTGCCTGTAATTTCACCAGCTCCCTTGGCCTTCGAAACCGGAACGCAGGCGCACACTATTGCTTGGCGGCAGAAATAGGCAAGGTGGCGGTACTTCCCTGGAGGAACTCTTTCACAAGGAGAGCTCCTGCTATTGCTACTAAATTAAATGAAATTTCTTGGAAGAAGTGCGGTACTGGAAAATCATTCTACTTACCGAGTGTTTGATTTGCTGGGTTCCGTATTCTTTAAACAATAAAACCACGTTCCATTGGGAGTTCAGACTGTTTTTGTTTCAGCGGTGACCCGCCACCTACTGGACAGTTCCTTCATCGCAGCGCTGAGCCGACTATGCTACTGCATATTGCTGCTGCACGGAGTAATAGCCCGATCAGTTCTCTTGGCTGACAGCACTCTGTGCTCGGATTCTCTATGTATCGTAAGTATTCTACTATTAATTTGTGGAAACTGATTGTATGTACACTTACGTGACAGTGGCACAGTAGAGTATAACTAGTGTCCGGCGAAAAATTCGGCATTACGTATTTCAAGCATTTTGTGTTGATAGATGTTTTCTCGTAACTTTAAATGAAAGTTTTACCAAAACCAGGCTTATCGCTAATCAAGTACTTAATAATATCGTAATCTATGTAACTTTAGCATTGACTTACAAATAAATGGACGACGGGTCTAATACAAAAACCACGAAAAAAATGTACCAAGTCAACCTATTTAAACGTAGTGACATGTAAAGGAATATGAAAAAGCTAAAACGCTGAATTTAAATTGTAATGTCATCGCAGTACTGTCTAATTTTGCTTGCTTCGCTGTCAGTCGAACAAACGAAGACTAAAGCGTGAATGACGCTCTGTATACGATTTTAACGCCCTATAAGTTCGGACACTTTTTAGCGCGGACCCGACGTCCATATAATTGTAAGTCAATGAACTTTAGCTAGGAACGGAACAATAATAATTTCTAAAATGGTAACACTACTATAAGAGGATGCTTTGATTTGGCTGTCGATCAGAGGTGTTCTGCCAAAGCAGCAAAGTCTGTGGATAGTCTAAGCAAAGAGTACATATACATGACGAGTATAGAGTAACGCGGGAAGTTTTTTCACTGTACATACACACAGCCATGTACATACAGTGAAAAAACAAAAAAATATAAACGATTGAAAATTTTACAAAGAAGTGCCAGCGCCTGCCTTTTGTATTATGGCAATAAAGCACTAAAACTTTCGCCTTTTTTATTTAATCAGGCACTACTTCGTAAAATTTTCAATCGGGTTTTTTTTAAACTAATGTAGATAAGAAGCGTATACCTTTAATTCGTGAAGGCAGCAATTATTAGTAATACATACTTATGGAAAATCTGCTCCCTTCATGCTGAACAAAGTGGCGACCAGCCATCCTGACGTCAAAATGGCTGTAAATAAGTAATTTTTGAATATACACTCAGTTCCAGATGCGACAGGCGACCAGCCATCCTGACGGTCAATAACAAATGCCTATTTTGAGAACATCCATTTTCATCGCTAACTGGACTGCTATTTCCACAGTGGTCATACACAGCTGGCGTGAGTATCCTGACAGTTCTATCAGCGCTGGTTCTTTCGCTGCTGGTGGAGACGCCATGCTGCAGTCTGCTCAGACGACTCTCCGACTACGCTGCCTGACAAACCTTTGTGCTACGAGTAAAATATTTATTTAGTATATTGATGGTTTTTTTTGCAACAACTATCAACTTCACGTTAAATAGTGTTGAGTTATGGAAAAAATTCCGTTTTGAAAAAATCATATTTTTCTGAAAAAGTAATGTTTTTCTGGATATTTTTTCAAGTTACTGAACAAAAACGATGGAGCTAAGTTTTTTTCCGCTCATGTTGAACCTCTCGTTTTTCCCTAACTTGCTTTTAGATATACAATGTTATTTTATAATTTACACTAAATAAAGATATTTCTAAACGAAGAACATAATATGAGCCTTCGAATTATATTTTTTTAAATATTTCCAATGTTTCAGGAAAAAAATCCATAATTTCAAATTTTTCGAAAAATTACCTAACAGTACATTTAACTGTCGATATAATACGGTTTTTTATATAAGTAATTGATATTAGAAAAAACGTCAATTACAACGATTAATGATAAGCTTGACACTTTTTTACACTTATTTATTATTTGCTTGGCACTTTCAGCAGTTTTCATGTAAAATTGATAATGCCATCAACCGCACGCGGTCTAACTTAGTAGTGTGTGTCCTGCATCTAGCCGTTATCATAGAGGTATTACTTAACGTACAGCTAGAAATTACCAAGTTTTCTGGATCTTTGCAAGTAGGTACAACACTATGGGTACGCGATCTATGACTAGGTGAATTGCATTGTGAATTCAGACAAGACAATAATTGTTTCTAAAATGTTTATTATTAAACATACTGTATTATAATTATAGTAAAATATATCACTAAAGCATAAATCAGTGACCATAAGTCATAATTGGTACAAATGAGAAAATCAATAGAAATTATCTTATATAGAAAATTTGTTTTGGAATAAGTCAATATAGATTGCTACAGCATTATTAACTAAAGTCCAACCTTCTAAGCCTTCAAGGAAATCCGTTTTAAAGGAAGTTAATGAGTGCATTGCTAACCAATTTATTATTCCACAGACTTTTATAACCGAGGTTAGCCTAGCTTGAAAGTCTAAGAACAGAAAATAAGTTCCACATTGTAAACTAGTAAGTACTAGTTTAGTAATACCACATGTCATGTAAAAGGCAATTATTATAATTTATTTGTAAATTCGATAATAATCAAATATAGAAATGACACTGCCTGCGCCTTAACCGAATACTTAACTATACATTTCACTGCAATCGTCAAAATCCGTGGAAAACGAAGGACTCTAAAGCTTGGACTTCAGAATTGAGTGCTGTATGTGTTTCTGTTGTACATTTTACGATGCCTAAAAGTACAGATCACTTAATACAGAATGTCCAATAAAGAGTGTCCAAAAAAAGTCGGCTATGTGAACTTAATGTATGACAACATATGGCATGGTTATAGCGTCGTGTGAGAGCTCCCGTTGTGATGTCGTATTGACGCGGAATAAATCATGTGGCGGGTAACATTGCAATATCATGCAAAATATGGAATTAACCGACGAAATATTCACAATGGCTATCCCGGTAAGCAAGCCCGCGGTGTGAATTATGTTAGTATCTATAAACCATTACGGGTTATGGCAGAATGCCAGTAAGTACTATGTGCTTCTTAATATACGATCGTTTTTTATATGTGAAACAGGACAGCAATTAAAATCACGTTTCGCAAATTCGTAAAAACGTACAATAGAAACACTGTACCATACGGTTATAGTTACAATTCTAAAATCACAAAATTATATTTAAAATATTATAGGGTATTAATTAACTACACACTAGTGACCAAAGACAGATCGACATGATCAAATTCAACGCAACATCAACATAGATGATCTAAATTTACGAATTTATGTGACATTAGAGTTCGTTCTTGTCGGTCTGTGAATTGAAAAGTTTTCAAAGTAGCAAAGCCATAATCTAATATCAGTTCTTAGTTGATATGTTCATAAACAGTTCACATTACGATACGTACTTCCCAATATTAGCTAACAGTATCACTGGCACACAATGTTTAATAGAATAATAAAGTACGCTGAAAAATGAATATTCACCCACTACGAATAAGAATCAAGTTGTCCCAGAATTTTTAATTGGTTTACATGAGAATAACTCTAAAGAATGTTTCATGTCTCAATTAATATCAAATACTATAATGGTTAGGTAGGTTTGTGGTGAGGGATTGCTTCGTTCTATTTCACCAAAACCGATCATTAACTTGTATGGCGTCTTTAGTTGTGACGTCATAACGGGTAATGCCGTTCGTAACTCCTGATGTCAGAATACCCACAAGCTTTAATTTTTCAAGAATTCATGTCTATTCTCAACGTTACGTGAAATTTTCAACATTGGTAAAATTATTTATGTAATTGTAAGATCTCAAAAACTCATTAAATATTCCCTTCGGGGTGCTGAGACAGCCTGATAGTGTACGTTAGGGGTGAATATTAATATTTGCAGTCATCTGCAAGTTATGGCCACATACATGTCTACGTACATAACGCGGTGGTGTGACGTCATTGCATTGCGACCGCTGAATCTCCGGACATCTCCGACTCCGAGACTTCGTCGGAGTCGCTCGAGTGCCGATACTCGATATCGGATTCCACCACCACGCAGTCCTGGATAAAAGTCCGAAAAATGGATTTTATTACTTTCACACTGCGTCGAATAAGAATATTAACTGTTACGTTATGGAAATAAACGCGTCGTTATTAAAGTTGCGGTTAATAAATGATCTTTCAAACATTTTCGCAGTGCATAAATCGTAACAATACTGCCCGGGTGTCAATATTTAAACGTTCTTATGTTGTTATAATTCTAGGGTCGGCGAACTAAAGCACATAAGTTAAACTCCAACATTATTCATTTAAATTAATACATCTACTGGCTAAAGCACATAAGTCAAATTAGTTTGTTACTTCATAAATTTCTAACTTTATCCAAGAGGTTATTTAACTTCCAACACTAAAAACAACACAAAAAAATATATAATTATATATTAACATGATATGACTTATGTGCTTTAGTCTGCCGACTCTAGTATGTCTGGTTATTTTTGTTTTTGGTATTTACAGTTTATAGCTTTACATTTTAGTTTAGCTTACTTTGCGCCCTACTTTCCGCGGCCGCTTGTTTACCTGCGCACATAAGTAGGCAATTAATTTAGTGATTAACGAACATTCGCTCGATTTAGACATTTAACAACATAACAACAACTTAGATATACATAGCCTAATGTAGGTTGTATCGTTACCGATAAATTATTTTCTTATTTAATGAATTTTGATGTCAATGCTGATCTCGGAACGAAAAAAGGCACAACTGTCGTATAAAGTACGCATAGTTGTGCCTTTTTTCGTTCGATTATGTTTTAGGTTCTTACTGGAGGTACACGTATCTGTTATAATCCAAATTATCTATACACGTTTTTTTATTTGTGTTTGAAAGTCGAAAATCTTTGTCAAGAACGAAGAACGCGGGCAGTCTACGACGAACAGTCGGGTGATTATTACAACTTACGCTGTCGGGGCTGCTGCGGTGGACGTCCTGCTGCTGCGCACGGAACCTCGCCAGGATGCGGTCGTGCGGCGACGTGGCCACGAGCCGCCGCGGGTAGCGGAACTCGCGGCGCGCCGGCGTGTTGCCTGCGCGTAACATGACAATTTTACCCGACCGCTAGGGGCCAATTCGCCGAGATAGATTCAGATTCATTTATTTCTCAAGTATAACATTACAGTATAAATTGCACTACATGTCAAAGTATAAGAAATTATATTGAGATCGTCAGACAAAAAGGAAAATCATAAGAAAAGCACACAAAAATTAGAAAATTAACAATTCATTATATAATATTGTTGTCATTAAATTATATATCAAATATCATTCTCCATCAAGGATCGTCATAAGTTAATAACAACTATACAAGAGTATGTTAATGCGGTAAAAATTAGAATAAAAATAGAAAATACTGAATTCGTT